AAATCGTGTTAATATAATCATAGTATAGAATTCACCGCGCGGCGAAACTCTTTTATTTGACTTTTATGTCCTAGATTTTAAGATAAATAAGTATAATCATAACATAGTTATAGTTATAAGTTTTGAAAGCATCACTTTAGTTTGATCAATGTCGACTATCTTAAAATAGCTTTAATATATCATTAGATACTATAACGTTCAGTTTTTAAGTGTATTGCCTGGTTTTTAATTTTCTAATTTTAAAGCTAAGATAATATTTTATTTTGGCAATTTAAAGACTACATTTAACCAGAAAATATGCCTTAAGGTCCTTCAGTCTTGGGGAATAATTAAACATCTCAGCAGTTCTTTAATTTTTTAAATCTCATGTCACAGATTTCATATATATATATAACATAAGTGAATATTTTATATATGTGTATAAATTCCCTCTGTGTGTTTTGGAATCCAACTTAAGCCGTGTCTTCTAGTGCCAGTGCAATGAGATTTATAGAGATTAAATGCTTGCTTTCAGGGCTTAATCCATTTTATCAGTGGCAACTGGGCGGCAGAAGGGGAGGGGGAGGAAGTACCTCGGCACGGGTCCGGTTTTGGTTTTTGGTTTTCGGTGGCCCGGGAAAATGCGGTTGGCTCCGGATCCGGGGGACCACCGCTGTTATTGCAACGGATAAAGCCGCGACAAGTGAATGCCGGCACGAATGGGTCGGATTTGAAGTATTTCACACTAAAAAGCGGTAATTGTCTGGAGCTGTTGCCTTAGACGGGTACAACGAAGCCATTAGCTGGGTAAATATTATTTTATTCAATTAAAATGCACGGATTCAGCTGCATGTCACGTAGCCGCCGTGTTTGCCCTTTACCTTTTGACCAGAATCGATTGCATATTTTTGGGCCTGTCCACCGAGACAATATCAATATCTATCCGTCTGTGTTAATAAAGCCATTTGCCTATGCATATATGTTTATACATACAGTATGCGTATTAAATGTGTCATGGTTTACTTATTTTACGCCACATCTTTTTTGCCGTTGTGCACATCGTTCTTTATTTAATGTCAATCGCGTTGCTCTCGAACGGATAAAAACATATTTCGCCATGAGGCGGCTGGATAAAAAATCCCCGTAAGTTCACTATTGAAGTGAAAAAAATTCAAATATATTTTGTCAATCGCATATTGATGGTTAATTACATTTTCAGATTTAAATAATAAAACGTTTGAAGGGTAAAAATAAAGGAGAAATTTAATCTGTAGGCGCTCAACTTGATGAAGCCTTTTTATGCTTGTCACTGTGAGATTATCTGGTAAAGTGAAAGTTTATTTGGCGATATTTTTTAATAATCGGTGGCATGTTTATTCTTGTATAATATGACTGTATGAGTGTGCTACGATTCGTTTGAAATCCGAATTAAGTTTAGGCATATGCTAAATATTGAGTTTTTAGGAATAACTTCTTAAATTTTTTTTGTTTTGGTTGCAGCTTAACAAATTGTGAAAATTGCTTGTGCGAATGGTCTTTTGGGAAAGTGGTTTAAATTTTGAATAAAACTATTACTTTCTTTCATTTCTGTGTAGCTTACATTGTATATCATCGAATTACCTCTGAGCGAACCCTTGAACATTTTGTGGCCACACTTTAGTCGACGATTCCAGCTGTGATTCAGTAGTACAGTTCTTGGCAGCAATATCTCCATTATGATTACCTATTCTGTGGAATTATTGCTGGCCGGTCTAGACGCTGCCCCGATTGTTGTTGATGATGTTGGACTAAGCTGGTCAATGTGGACATTCTCAGAAATTTATGGCGCGACGCAAATCTGCACAATGCAACCGCACGGTCGAAAAGTCCACACACGAGCAGAGCGGACGGGGCAAAGTGGATAATACGAATATGTGGATATTTTTGGTCACGTTTGAATTTATTTGATTGCTGGCACTTTTAGCATTGTTGGAGCTGACGTTTTATTTAATGCCCTGCCAGCAACAGCCATGGCAAAAAAGGCAGGGCCATGGAAATTGCTCAGGAAACGTACAATTTATTTCAGTTCATTTCTTTTTGCCGCCATTTGGTCTGTGCAAAAGTGGGTGCCATGGGTGTGGGGTGTGGGTGTGGATGTGGATGGGGGTGTGGTGCGGTATAGGGGTATATAGGGGTCCCCGCCCACTACTGATGTTGATGTTGCCTACTTTCGATTTTGGCATGTCGCGCCGCTCACGTTCGGCAATTGTCCTTGTTTTTGTATCTGTATCTGTGTATGTACAAGTATCTGTGAATGTATGTGTACGAGGTTTGTTTGTCCCGCCAGTCATTTGGCGGTCGTCGTCCTCGGCCCGCGTCTGGCGGCATAATTTGAGCAGTTGAAGTTGCCAAGTTATCAGCCAGACGACAACGATTGCGACCCACCTGGCAAAAGCAAACAAGCCATTTGATGTTTTCATTTGGCTGCCACCCATCGACCGCTCAACTCGACAGCACGACCCCCGCAGACTGCCAAAGAGAAGCTCTTTGTTTTATGCCCCCGAAAAACTGGAACTACTGGCAAAACAAGTCCTGGGTTGAATACCCTTTTGAATGGTGGTTTACACCCAAAATAATGTGGTACCGCGAAGTTAAGGAAAGAAGAACTTACTGTAAGAAAGTGTAATTGTTGACATTGACTTGCAAACTCATAAAATTACTAGACTAAGTTCAAAAATAAAAGCTTATGAATTTCTTAAATAAATTTTCTCTACACTTTAGCAGCAAAAAAGTAATATTATTATAATACATAAAATAGTAGAAAAGGTTCAAAAAGAAAAGCTTATGAACTTTTAAATAAATAGCCTTTATAATTTAGCAGTGTGACTTATAATACTTTGCTCAATATATTCAATATGAACATAAAATGTGGAAAAAATTTATGATAATTTATCAATTCAAAAATCAATCTAAAGAAAAGTTTTAATTTTAATAGTATATATAAGAATAAAGACTTTAATTAATATGATTTTAATTAAAGTATTACTCACTAGTTTTCTGTGTAGATTCTAGGACCGATAGTTCCCAAGACCAGCAAGGGTATCAAATATTATTACAACTGGTAATATTTCCGACTGCCCAGAGTTGATGGCCATGTCTTGCCGTGGGCCACCGCATGTTGCCGGCCCAGAACTCAGAACTCAGGGCTCAGAGCTCAGAGCTCAGGATTCAGACTCATGTGTATCTTTGGCTTCGGCTTTTGGCGTGACAAAAGCGAATAAATTTGGCTGCCGAGTATTTGCATAAAAATGCGGGGCGCCCGAGTGCGAGTGACAATGAAATTTAAATATTTATGCTATACGCTTAATATTATTAGAGTTGGCCCGAAAACTTTTCGCCATCCACGTCGTTGTTTGACATTCTTTTTAACCAGCAAAAGTTGGAGCTGCAAACGAGAAGAGGGGGTACTTATATTAAAACATATTTTAGCAGATTTTTGTTGTGCGTGACGGCAGCAATTGTTCTGCTGAAAATTTGGCAAGTATGAAATGAGCATAAAAATAGTAAAAGATTGAGTCATTATTTGTCTGGGCCAGTTTAAAATGGGCCAACGGGAAATGAGAATGCCAAAGTCGAAACTTGTGGCGGTGGCTGAAAATGAAAGCACACAAAATGGCACGCAACTAGGACAACTAAGTGAATAGAAGTCAGAGAATCAAAGTAATGAATCACTCCAGCTATATAGTATGGTTGATCCGCCCCCCGCCCTTTGCCTCCGTCCCTCTGTTGGCCCCACTTGCCCCTGCAAACAAATTCAACTTGAAGTGAACTCGACTTCGAGTTGACTTTTGACCGTCAAACGGCGAAGCGAAAAGTGGAAAGTGGGCAAAGTGCATGCAAGCGAAAGTTGAGCGCAAGACGCCAACTGACCCTTACTGGGTGACCCCGCCCACCGCCCAGTTTTTCCAACCCCTTTTCCATCGCCTGCTTTGTTGGCTTAGGAAAAGTTTCGAAAAGTATTTTACACGGTCGCCGTTGCAGGGCGAAACTGATAGTTGCCTCTTAATAAATGGTATGCGCTTTCCCAGCTGTCAGGTGAACTGAGGGCGGGTCGGGTCTTTTCTGGGGGCGTGGCACTCGGGGAAAATGCAAACGAAATGGAATCTGTGCGAGCTGATGAGGTGAGCGAAATATGCAGGAAAACTGTCACGAGAAACTTGGGAAAAGTGGTTCCATGAAAGATGTTTACACTCCGATGAATGGGCAGATGGCAGATAGATGATAGATAGCAGGTACGCAAAGAAAAACCCTATCAGTAATATATGTGCATTATGATTGTTTAATTAAAAACTGGCATTAACTAATAGCTTACTGAATTGCTAAAAATTTTTAAATTCCTAAAAATGTAGTTACTAGCATAATAGCATTTCAACTGCCAGACTTATCAGGATAGAAAATAATGAAGCTTTCAAATTAAATGTAAGCTTTTGATTAACTTACAAGTATTCATTAAATCCGTTTAGCTTGAAGTTTCCACAATTAAACTTTTTGAGAATTTTTCTTCATATTTCACATTTTGTTATTCTTGACTATGCTAGCACAGCAATTCCTAACAGCTGTTATCAATAACCAGGCTCTTGAATATTGTTTTCAGTGTACCCATTCTGTGTAAAATTCATACAGCTATGATCAACCAAATAGTAGTATGCAATTAATTGACTGTTGTTATTACAAGTGCACAAAAAAAAAGTTTATAAGAAATCGTACTCGATTTTTACATCATTCAATATTAAAAATATAACGTATTTGCTGACTTTTGAATATCAAACGTATCTCGATGGTAATCAGCTTAGCTTTTTAAAACATTTGAAGCTATATTTATGGACGTCACGTTCTTTATTTTTGTCAAGACCCAACAAAAATTCTTATCAGTGTTTTGAGACCTCCATTAACCCCAGCATACGAACCAATTCGCCTCTAGGTTTTGCTTTACCCAACTTAGTACTTAAAATCTGGGCACTGAGTTTAGTTTGCTAGCAGTAATGATTTGGATTGTCGGGCTTTTGTTCGTTTCAATTGTGAACGCTTCTCTTTATGAGAAGACAATAGACGAGGCTAATAAATGGGTGCTGGACTACGTTTTGGGCAATGGAAAGAAGGATTCCAGTCCCTGCACCAACTTTCCCGAATATGCGTGTGGCAAGTACGCAGAGCGCCACATTGGTGAACCCTTCAGCGGAATTTTTCAGGAGATAAGCCACAAGGTAAACCATTACCTTCTCGACGAGGTAAAAAGGCTGGAGATGAACTCGACCATGAGCGCATTTGACGACCAGTCCATCGATGCGAGGCTCTTGAGATTCTACAAAGGATGCCTTGAAGCGCCGCCAGAAACGCGAAAGATAGAGCATTTCTTGAGACTGGCTCCACCAGGCGAGGGTCTCACTTGGCCTCTTTTGACGACCAATGGGCCTGAACTCAAGTGGATGAGCACCGTGGCATATCTGTTTAACCAATACGGTTTCACCAATGTTTTATTCGACGTAAAGATCACAACGAATTATGAAAACAGTACGGAGCATCTTTTGAGTCTAAGTAATCCCGATATAGTTGGTCCCTATTTCGATTATTTGGAAGCACATAGAATTCTTCGGGAGTTAAAAATACCACCACTAAGGTTCCTTGTTCTCTTGAATAAGGTCACATACCTATACCGGGAAGTTGAGTATCTGACCACAGTGCACAACAAAGGAAACAGGCAGGTTATAACTGTGGAACAGATGACGAGCAGAACCGGTTACGATTGGCATGAGTTCATCCAGACAATAGTTGGCCACGACATTCAACCCAACTTCCGGTTGCAGGTGTATAACTTGGGCTACTTTACTGCCCTTAAGAGTCTAATGGACTCCACCGACACCGAATTGCTGGGTAGCTATATAATGATTAACTTCGCCCTATCTCTGCAGTATGAAATCAAGGCCGGCGGGGATCCCATCGATTGCATAAAGTATGTGCGCCAAAATATGTATGTGGCCTCAAGCCTTCTCATTACGGAACGCTTCCATCCAAACCTGCTAATGTTCTTACCGAAAATTGAGAAAATCTTCGAGGGAGTTCGGCAACAGTTGCTCCTAAAAATCGAGCGCAATCGCCTTCGCCTGACCGCTGGGCAAAAGGATATGGCTTTAAGGAAGGTTATGGCCACTATGCTCAACATCAGCAACATGCTTAATCGTACTGAGCTTCGTGAATTTTTCAACAAATACTATGAGGGTTTGGAGATTCCTATGAACGACCAGGACTTTGCTCGGGAACACCTCAATCTTCTGCATTTCACCGCTGGCAAGATACTGAAGCAATTAAACGAATTGTCTGCGGATCCAAAGAAGTATTTCATCCTACCCGAACCAGATACGTTTTCTAGTTCTGGGCCGTACTATCTCAGCCCCGAGAACGTCATCGTCCTGCCAGTGGACCTTCTGCAGGAGCCCTTTTTCCTGTTAAACAGCCACGATGTTTTTACATACAGCTCATTGGGATTCGTTCTCGCCCGGGAGCTAATGCACGCCATCGACAAGGACAATATCCTTTACGACAGCGAAGGAAACGTGAACGAATTTGGCATTGAAATCGCAGAGTCAAGGAGGTTCAAGAAGGGTCTGAAGTGCTTGGGAAAAACAAGATTTAGCAACGATCGATTGGCAGATATCGGTGGACTTCATCTCGCCTACTCCGCTTACCTGGAAAGCGTTAAAAGCACTAGATCAGAGAATTCTGATAGGAAACAAGTTGCTAAAAATTTTACCAGCCTTCCACTTCGGCAGGTGTTCTTTCTCAATGTGGCGCAGTCCTTCTGCACAAGTGATTTTACGAAAATCGGCCGTCATGTTGTTGAAAAGTGGCGCTTGGAGCAAATGCTGTTCGGCTCCTCGCCTTTTGGCAGAACTTTTGAATGTCCTCCGAAGGACTTACAGTGCCAGCTCTGGTGAAAAAACAACGGGAAGTGTAATTTATTGTTCTTCAATAAATAAAATCTAAAAAAAAGTAAACCCAACCCACTTTGGTGGTATTATTTTTGGGAATATATCATGGGGCTACTATTCGGTAACTAACAATGCTGAGCTTTCAGTTTGGCAGCATTCGATGTGTTTGCCCGCAGTTAATTATAAAAACAATTAAACACACTACAAAAAATAAAACGTTGACCACGAATGAGAAACATCACAGCTATCAACTGCTGTATTTGTTTCGAATTGATAAAGTGGGTGCCAATTATCAAGCTCTTAAATATAGCTTTAAATGTACTCAAGAGTTGACTTTGAATGAACAACATACAGCTTATCTCAACATTATAGAGGTATTTGCTTGCTGTTAAAAATGATTTAAGTAAAAAATTTACAAGTAAACTACATTAATGCTTGCTTTACTCAGCTTAGTACTTGAAATCTGAGCTCTCAGTTAATTTTGTTTGTAAGAATGAAGTGGATTGTCTGGCTTTTGCTCATCTCAATTGCGAACGCTTCTCTAAATGAGAACACAATAGATGAGCCCAATACGTGGATACTGAACAACATTCTGGGCAATGGAAACGAGAATTCCAATGCATGCACAAACTTTTCCGAATACGCATGTGATAAAAACGCCGAACGCCACAAAGGTGAACTCTTTAGCGGAGTTTTCCAGGAGATAAGCCACAAGGTTAACCATTACCTTATCGATGAGGTAAAACAGCTGTGGATGAACTCGTCCATTTGTAGTGTTTTTGACCACCAGTCCATCGAAGCAAAGCTAATAAGACTCTTCCACAGCTGCCTCAAAGCTTCGCTAAAAACGCGAAAGATAGGGCATTTTTTGAGACTGGCGCCTCCAGGCGAGGGACTCACTTGGCCCCTTTTGACGACCAATGGGCCTGAACTTAAGTGGATGAACACCCTGGCATATCTGTATAGCCAATACGGTTTCACCAATGTTTTAGTCGACGTGCAGCTCAGAAAGAATTATGGAAACAAGCTAATTAACCCCAATATGGATAAGCTGTTTGATTATGGGGCAGCACTAAGAATTCTTTATGACTTGAAAATAGTAGCGAGACTGCCTCTAGTGCAAAACTTCAAAAAGCTGGAGTCGTATATTCAGACTCTAGCCAAATTTCACGACAATGGAAAATTGGAAGGGAAAATTGAATGAAACTTGAAAATTGAATGAAAATTGAAATCGCGAATTTGCCCCGGTTCAAGGAGGGATTGGAGTGCTTGAGTAATATGATATAAACTTCATCAACGATCGCCTGGCCGATATCGGTGGGCTTAATCTAGCCTACTCCGCTTACTTGGAAAGCGTTCAAAACAGTTCAAGGGACATCAGCTCAGAGGATTCCTTCCACTTCAGCAGGTATTTGTTCTTAATGTGGCGCAGTCTTTCTGCACAGATGGCTTTCCGAATGTCGACGGTCAGGATGATGAAACCTGGCGCTTGGACCAAATGCTGATCAGCTCCACACCGTTTGACAGGGCTTTTGAGTGTTCAGCGAAGGACCGTCAGTGCAAGCTGTGGTGAAAAAAGAATACAGGAGTGTGATAGATTATGGAACATAAATAAAATGTAAAAAAGAAGTTTACAATGCGTTTATTGTTAGGAGTCAAATCTGAGGGTAACTAATAATTCTTGATTTCCCTGCAACCACATTTACTGCTGAGCTGTTAATATAGACCATAATTGCAGCTGATGCTATCATTGTTGCAGCACTCGATGTTCTTGCCCTCCGGTAATTTCTATGCGCAAACCGCACAAATGAACAATATTCAATTAATTTAACAAACAATTATCATCAATTTTCATTAAATTAAATAACAGCCTTAACAAAAACAACAACTGGTATATAGAAAAAAAGAACAACAAAAAACGCTGAGCGAGAATGACAAACTTTTTGCACGCATTGCCAGTCGCAATTAGTTGTTAATAAACGGCTTTAGGGAATTGCAGCCACCTTTGGTTCTATGCCTCATAATTAACAGCGAAATAATAGATATTAAATGGTTTAAATAAATGAAAATAATTATAAAGCCAAAAACAAAAAAATGAAATGGTTTGAACTGAAGTGAATTATTCATTTTGTCCTTTATGCAACAGCTGAAAATAAAACGTAAACGTAAAATATGTAAAAGAAATGGAAAGCTCAAAAACTATGCGAAAACATTTGAGGGGCCAATGCAGGCTATTCACACTTAAGCACAGGCGCAAACACAGTTTTATACAAGCCTCAATGCAAGCCGCAAAAAGTCACTACCACAGAGAGCATCTACATAAAAATGCTTTTAAAATGTCAAAGCGCGTAAAAGAATGAGCAAGTGAGAGAGAAGGAGAGAGAGAGAGAGGGGGGAAAGGGGGAAAGGAGGAAAAGGGAGCAAAAGAGTGGGAGGGGGAGGAGCAGTAAGGTTAGTCAAAGGATTGATGGCAGCGCCTAAATAAGCCAAACTGGCAGGGGTAAAAGTTCACGTTGCGTATACGCCGTGTGTTAAAGTCAAAAAACATAGCGCGCTCCAGAGCGTCGCCTAATCAAAAATGCTTTGCGTGCCGTTTCCCATACAAACACACACACACATACACACACACAGCAGCTTAGCCCATATCAGGTATACGCCGCTTTGTTCCCCATTTACAAATTCAGCCGCACTTTGACAGAGTTTTTATTTGCGTTTTATTAATGCTAAACGATTTCCATGGTGGCGGTATGAACCTCTGAAACCAAATTGCTGATTTACAAAAGAATCAGTTCTTTTTACCTCCACAAAAGAATAAAATTTGGGTTCTTACTATTCTACATTTTGGTATATCCCATATTTGCTTTCATAAATATTTTGATATGCTAAGCTTGGTTTTTACACATAAATACATACTATTAGGAAGGTATGAAATATATACAACTAGTTCATGGTGTTTTGTTACATTATTTTTAAATTTAATTTATAAAATATAGGCCTAAATTAGTAAAAGTGAAAATAGAATACAATTTCTAAAACATCACAAATAACTCGCATTTATTTTACCTACAATATTATGTGAAGTCTCTTTCTAGGTCTATATGATACCTAAGAATATGTATGAATACAAACCTATACATTTTAAATTAAATTTTCATCAAAAAAAAGGTAGTGGAAACCAGGGAGTTTAACACTTTCCGTCACAATTTGGCACGCCCTTTTGACGGCTGCCATCGGAGCATCGTCCAGGACTATAAGTTGCAAAAAAAAGAGGGGAAAAAGGGAAAAGAATAAAATAATTCATGCAATGCTGGCGGCCTGAGAGTGGTTTCACCAGCCCGCCCATCCACTCATCTCCTCGAATGGACGTCCTTCTCATCATCGTCTTCATCGTGAATAATTTGGGTCACTTGGCGGCAGTTAGTCAACTGCATTGTTGCTGTTTGCTGCTGCGGTCGCGTTTTTCATTGTCGGCATGCGGCAGCCGCATTTTTCAATCCCTTTCCCAACTTTTCCGCTTTCCCTCTCGCACCGTCTCGCTTTGGGCATCTTAAACGCCTTTAAACTGAAAGACGACATAATTAATTAAGCTCGGCGGCTTGACTGATGTCCTGGATGGCCTCCTGCTGTTGGCCAGACTTTCCGAGCTACTGTTGCCGCACTAACTGCACCGGAAATAATTTGTTTTAGATTTACTAAAGCTCACTTAAAATTTTGAAAAATGAAATGAAATTATTGCTTTTTATGGTTAGATAACACAGTGACTTAAACTGAAATATATAAAATCAAAAAACATGCAAACATTTAATATGATAATAAAGTTATAATATTAATATACCTTTAAATACCAAATTATTAGTTTAAATACCAAATTATTAGTTTCATTAAGTGTTTAAACTAAATGAATAGTTGATTAATTAAGATAAATATGTGGGGGAAATTTCTTTTTTGTCTTTATGGTATTTTAGTAATGACCGTCTGATATTACATCAAATTGTGATACCAAAATAATTATTCTCTAATTTATTTTCGGCAAACAAATTTGGATACATATAAGTGAGGAACAGCTTGACCCTCATTTGTAATGTAATTTGTTTTCAGTGCTCTCTGCATTATAATGCGTGCCGCGAAAGGGCCACAAATTTAGTTGTGGCCTAAAGTGCTCCGACTGACCCCAAACTGGGCGACTGCGGCCGCTTGTGGCTCATTTGCAGTCTCCGGAAACGGAAATTTATGCGACCCAACAGACCAAACTAGGAGCAGCTCATAAAGCCTCAACTTTCAGTCTATGAATTTTCCCCAGCTCTTGAGCTGCGTGTGTTTGTGTGTGTGACTATGTGTGTTCGCGTAATAATTTAATAAAACGCTCTAACAGCAAACGCTTGATGTAAATGTAAAAAGTTTTCAAATGTTTGGCTGCAGCCCTCGGTGCGGAAGTGCTTCCAGCCAGTGCAGTGATTGCTCTCCTCAGTGTTGTTATGTGTTAATTTTTAAAAACTGCCCGAAAGCAGCCGAAAAACAAGGAGAACAGCTCAAAACTCTACAGTCGGCAAATGGAAATAGCACAAAACCCATTGCTGTGATTACTTTGCAGCTGCCGAGAGAGTGCTACCACAAAAAGCTCTGATTTTCATACACTATACACAGCTATTTTTTGTTTTCTTGTTTTTTTTTTTTCACCCGTTTTCAGCGAATAGCCAGCGGTCAAACAGGAATAACTTTACTCGAAACTGTTGCACTTTTAATGCGTTTCGTTTCGGCTGCTTAGGTTCTGGTCGGGCTTTTTGGGGCCCAATGAACCCGGCCACTTTTTGACCACTCTCTGCTTGTTTTCGAAAATTAAATTGCGTTTTGAGCCTCGGTTTTGGGTGATTAATTTTTTTTACGTAAGATAATTATATAACTTATCACAAACTTGGTCTAAAATTGCTTCAAAAAGATACTTTATCACTTTCAGCTATATTTATTTTTGCAAAGTTTTTTAAATGTCACTTAAGAAATATATTTATTTTTTTTTAAGTAATTTTTCGAATAACTTTTTTAAAAATTACTAAGAACCTTTTATTTTTGTTATTAGGTGTGCTACAATAACTTAAATATAGCTCAGTTTTTCAATAACTTAATAAGTCGAAAATGGCTTCAAGAATTTTTTAATCATGCAAAAATGTACTTATTGCTATTCATTTAACCAAAATGTTGGTCCTGGAAAACTGTTTGGCTCTCCCTTGAAGTTTGTGAAATTTTAAATGCTTTTTAAGCTTCTGTTTCGGAGGCAATTCATCTTCGAGCGTGCTTCATGATGTTTATTTATGCCATTGCATTATTCTTGTTATTGTTGATGTGGCTGTTGGTGGTGCTACTGCAATTGCTGTTACTGTCAGCAGCAATATTGTCCCAGTTAATGTCGGGCGGCTGGGCTGGTCAATGCGATTACGCTGCTGTTTGCATTGATTGCGGGATACACAAGGACACAATCCAGTGACAGAGCTTGTCAGAGCAAGTTGCTCGCCTTTTTCAACCCTAGCCATTCATTTTCTGGCCATAATATGCGTTGATGGAGGAGAATGGAGGAGGGGCGTTGCATTTGACATGGCAGAGTGTAAATTAATTGCATAAATTAAGTGAAAATGCACGTCCTGGGCAAAAACTTCGAGTGCTCGACCCACGTGGCGAATGCGTAATGTAATCTCCAGGTGATAATTGATTCTGGCATTTCAGGGAGGAGGTGGATCGGCCCTTTTCGGTTTTCACCCAAACTGCCAACCTGTAAATGTGCAAATAATTATCTAAATAATTGAAAAGGGATACCGAAAAGGGACTGTCAACTTCCCCTTTCCTACTTTCTACTTTCTACTCTCTTTTGCTTTTCCTTGGAGTTCAGGCGTTAAGAATGCTACTGTTTCACTTTTAATTATGTAGGACAACAGGTCTGGCAGCTGGACACTCCTTACTTGTGTTTGGTGCTTCACGCCAACTTATTTGATTTTCTTTTCGCTTTTCCGCGCTTTTCCTGCACCCCCTTCTCTGCTTTTAACTTGTGATCTGTGAGCTGCAGAAAACTTTGGCCAAGAAGTTTAAACTGAATGCGCGCTACCTTTGGCCTCAGCCTTCAGCCCTTTTAATGGCTGCTTTAGGTTGTGTAAGCCAATTAGTTCTTAATTTGCAATTTGTTTTGCTGCAGTCGCTTTTCCTCCCGCCACCCCACGA